GTGTGTGTGTGTGTGTGTGTGTGTGTGTTGATCCTAGGACTTGAACTCAGTGCCCGAGCATTGTCCCTGAGCTTCATTGCTCAAGGATAGTTCTTCCACTTGAGCCACAACTCTGCCTCCAGCTTTTTCTTTGTTAATTAGAGGTAAGCATCTCAGGGACTTTCCTGCTTGAGCGGAACTGAAATCCTCAGATTTCAGTCTCCTGAATAGCTAGGATTATAGGTGCTACTGGTGCCCAACTTTAAAGGATGCTTTTGAAATTGGAGTTGTTCTCTGAGAAGATAGTAAATTTTGTCAAAAGCTTTTTCTACATCATTGAGCTGATCAAGTGATTTTTGTCCTTGATTCTGTTTGTACAGTGTATTATGTTAATTCGTTTTATGTATGTTGACCATTCTTGAATCATTGAGATGAAATCCAATTTGATCATTGGGTATTGATCTTTTTAAGATGCTGTTGAATTTGCCTTGACAGCATTTCATTGAGAATTTTTGTTTTTATGTTCATTGAAGGGATAAATATGTAATTCCCTCTGTCTCTCTGTCTCTGTCTGTCTGCCTGCCTGCCTATCTGTCTGTCTGTCTCTTTCTCTCTCTCTCTCTTTACTGTGTCATCATCTGGTTTAGTGTTCCTCCCCTATTTCATGGTAAAGTTTGAGGAGTACTGGTGTTCATTAAAGGCCTATTAAAATTCAGCAGTGAATCCACTGGGTCCTGGACTTTTCTTTGTGGAAGATTCTTTATTACCACTTCAGTCTCATTACTTGTATAGTTCTGTTTACGTGGTTTATTTCCTCTTGATTCAATTTTGGTAGGTCAGCTGTACCTAGAAATTTATCTGTTTCGGGCTGAGAAGTTGGCTCAGTGGTAGAGCGCTTGCCTGGGTTCGATTCCTCAGCACCACATAAACAAAAAGAAAAAAAGCTGGAAGTGGCGCCATGGCTCAAGTGGTAGAGTGCTAGCCTTGAGCTGAAGTGCTGAGGGACAGCGCCCAGGCCCAAAGTTTAGGCCCCACGACCGGACCCCCCCCCAAAAAAAAGAAATTTATCTGTTTCTTCTAGATTTTCCCATCTGAGTGTAGGTTTTCAAAGTATCCCCAGATTTCATGATATTTCCAGATTTCATTGATACTTGTTGTACTATCCCCTTTTCTGTTTCTAGTTTTACTAATTTGAGTCTTCCCTCCTCCTTTTGGTTAGATTGGCCAGGGATTTATCAGTCTTAATTTTTTGAAAGAGACACCTTTTTGTTTTGTTGATTCTTTGTATAGTTTTTTTAGTCTCTGTTTTGTTAATTTCTGCCCTAATACTTTTTTTCTATCTCTTAATTTGAGGTTTGACTTGCTCCTCTAAGAATATTAGATATGGGGAAACAAAGGAGGAGGCAACAATGCTTGATAAGAAATGTACTCATTACCTTGCCCATGTAATTGTAACCCCTCTGTACTGTATTTTCACAATAAAAAATAAAAATAAAAAAAGAATATTAGGTATATCATTAAACAATTTGAGAACTGTCTAGGATTCTTTTCTTTGATTCAGGCATTGTGGCTGTAAATATTGTTCTGTCTTTCCTAGTATCCCAAAGGTTCTGGTAGGTGTATTCAAAAGGTTCCCTTTTTTCTGCCCTTATTTATTCAGTGACCAACTGGTCAGTCATTCAACAATATGCTGTTCAGTATCCCATGTGTTCAAATATTTTCTTTAGGTTTTATTAAAAGTCTAGTTTCATTCCATTATATCCTGAGATGCTCTGCTGAGAAGCCTGTGTGCCATGCAGCTGTGTGATGAGATTCCCTATGGTCCACAGTGTTGTTTAGTTCTGAAGTTTTCCTACTGATACTCTGTTGGATGACCTCTATTGGAGAGGGTGGAATATTGAAGTCTCTCACTGTTTCTGGTGCTGGAGTATGTAAACACTTGTAAGTCAGAAACATTTGTTTAGTTGTACTTCAATATCTAGCACTTGTATGTATGTTAATGACTGTTACTTCTCTTAAGGGGTTTTCCCTTTATTTGTATGAAGTGATCTCCTTTGTCTTCTGATTTTAGTTTAAAATATGTTTGTTCAGATATAAATCCAACAGTTTTCAACAGTTTTAGCTTGCTTTGGAGGCCTCTGCTTGGGACCTTTTTTTACCTTTCACCTTAAGGCTAGGTTTGCCTTGGTAAGAGAGTTGTAGACAACACATGCTTGGATAAGCTTCCATTCCACGTCCTTTAATTGGAGAGCTGAGAGTGTTAATGTTGAAATGTCTGTTGAATTTCCTTTCATTTTTTTGTCTTTATGATGTTACATCTTTCATTTGTTTATTTATTCTTATAGTGGCGTTTATCCTTTCTTGTTCTTGGTTTGTCTTCGTGTGTGTGTGTGTGTGTGTGTGTGCGCGCGTGCGAGTGGGCGCGCACGTGTGTGTGATTCCTTTAAGTGTCTTGGCATCTTGAAGTGCTAGCCTTGTATTCATGAATTCCTTTTGTTTATCATGGAAGGTTTTTTTTACTCCCTCAATTATGAAGGATAGTTTTGTGGATACACTTAACCAGATGGTTGTTATATTTCAGGGCTGAAATAATATCCTTCCATTCCATCCTTCCATTTAAAGTTCATTTAGAGTTTGTGTTGAGAAACCTGCTGTTCTTACGGGCTTGCCATTATATGAAATTTGTCTCATCTTTGAGGTTTTCAATATTCTTTCTTTATTCTGTACATTTAGTATTTTAGTTATACTATGTCTAAGAATATTTTCAATTTTGCCTGTTTGGTGTTCTATAGGTCTTCATCTGGATGGGCCTGTCTTTCTCAAAATTGGAGAAGTTATCTGCTGTTATATTGTTGAATAGGTTAATCTGTGCCTTTGGTTTGTATCTGTTCTCTTTCTTCTGTACCCATGTTTCATAAGTCTGGTTTTTCCATGGTGTGCCAGATGTCCTGCATATTCAATCTGTGTTTTCTTAGTTTTGTGGGATTTTTTCAAAGTCTGTGACTGAATGATTTGTTTATTCTACTTTATCTTCAGTCCTAGCTACTCTATTATCAACTTGTTCTGCTGTTAGATTTCTATTGAGAGTTTTGTTTTGTTTTGGTGTTAGTTATTTTTTTTTTTTCAGTACTAGGATTGAACTCAGGACCTCTTCCACTTAAGCTATAGCTCAACCTCCAACATTTTCTTCATTAACTGGAGGTAAGAGTCTCATGAATTTATCTTCCCAGGCTGGCTTTAAACCACAATCCTTAGATTTCCTAAGTAGCTAGGATTACAGGCTTGAGCCGCTGGCACCCGGTATCACTTAAGCTCTTTATTGTGAAGTTGTTAGCTTTTGAGAGCGACATGTTGCCTTGTTTACTCATGAACTTTGTGGTTTTATGCTGAGATATATGCATCTGAGGTTTTTGGTGAATATTTCCATCTTCTGTTTCCTTTTAGTTGATTATTTCTTTTTTTAATTAAATATTTTTATCATCATTACAAAGGTGATACACAGGGGTTACCATTTCATAAGTCAGGTAATGAGTTCATAGTTGATGATTTCTTGCAGGTTACTTAAGTCTATGTAGTAGCTGTATGGTGGTGTACTTTCTTTCCTGTTACTAGATTGGAGGTGTGTGGCTCACAGGTCAAACCTTCAGTTTCAAAGCTCAGGACTCTGAGCTTCTCCACTCGAGGTGAGGAAGCTTGGCTGCAAAAGCTGATGTTGTTGATAAACCACAATCCTGTGTTTGGGGCAGTCCCTGATGAAGACCTCTGCTCTGCCAGTGTCTTTAGACAAATATGGAAGCAAAGATGTATCTTTGTGATCTAGGAAGATCTGAGTTAACCACAGTTGTAAGGGAAGGAGACAGTGAGGGTAACACTAATGAATGAAACCCGGTATTCACTTATACAAGGCAGGAAGGGTGGGAGCTGAGCTTGATGGGAGAGTTTAATGAGAAAATGGAGTAGAAAAGAGGGAGTTAGCATTGTGTTGAGGGGGGAGAAGATATATGTAGAAATGGAATAGATCTCTCTCTCTCTCTCTCTCTCACACACACACACACACACAAAATGATATTTGGACAGTCTAGTTACCTGCAAGGTTTAAGGATGGGGGAATAGAGATGGAAGAAAATATGAGTGAGTGCAGTCCTAATTGTAGACAGAAGGAAAGTACAAATGAGGAAGGACAAAAGGAAGGGATTCAGTTCAGTGGTAAAGTGCTTCCTAGCAAACATGAGGTCCCAGTACTGAAAAAGAAAAAAAGACTGAGCCAGGCGCCAGTGGCTCACACCTGTGATCCTAGGCTAAGATCTGAGGATCAAGGTTCAAGCCAGCTCAGGCAGATAAAACTAGAAGACTCTTACCTCCAGTTAACTAAAAGTGGAGACATGGCTGAGATGGTAAAGCACCAGACATGTGCAAAACAGCAAGCAAGTATATAAGGCCCTGCTTTCAAGTCCCAGTACCAATAGATACTCCACAATATCTTTATTTTTATATATTTGTCTATTTTATGTAATTAAGGAGATGAATCACAGATAAAAAATAATTTAAAAAATTTATTCTTCATAATAACAAAATCAAGGATGCCCTGGAAAAGTATGATTCCTCTCCTTTTCTCTCTCTGTCTCTCTGTCTCTGTCTCTCTGTCTCTCTTTCCCTCTTTTGATAGTACTGGGGTTTGGTAGGGCTTGTACTTGGTAGGCAGGTGCCCCAGCCCTCATTTCTTCTAGATATTTTATATTTTCAAATGTCCCTATTATACCACTATGTAGCAACGTGAGAAAATAATTACAGGTTGAGTCACACAGCTCAAACCCTCTCATAGCTATTTGGGGGTGGGGAGGGACAGTGATCAGGGAATGATGGTTTGAGGCAAAGGATTGGGCATTGTGCTGTGCACCTGTCACCCAGCAAGGGAGGGAAGTACAGACAAGACCATAGTCCAGGCAAGTCTGGACCTGTCTCAAAAGTGAGACCCTGTCTCAAAAGACAGCCAGGGAAAAAAGGGCCTGAGCTCAAATCTCAGTACCACCAAGTAAAAAAAGAAAATCATATTAGATATAATTACACATTTACATGATGGTGACTAAAAGTATAAATATCTGAATAGTTTGGATTAGGCTACCATGATACTGGTAGAATTAGGATATTAGTAGAATTTCTCATTCTTATAAATTTCCCATTATTGTATTTACGGTAAAAATTAAAAGAAATATAAATGAATATGTACATATATAAATTAGTCATAAAGCTGGGCATGGTTTATCTGTAGTCTTAGCTGCTTGGGAGGCTGAAGTAGAAAGAACACCTGAGTCCAGGGGTTCAAGGCCAGCCTGAGCCATCAGTATAGCAAGAGCCCCTTATCACATAAATAAATAAGATAACTGGACCTTTTGCCTTTTTTTAGTTAGTCATAGGGCTTGAACTCTGGGCCTGGGTGCTGTCCCTCAGCTCTTCAGCTCAAAGCTAGCGCTCTACCACTTGAGCCAAGCACTACTTCCCGTTTTCTAATGGTTAATTGGAGATAGTAGCCTCATGGACTTTCCTGCCCAGGCTGGCTTTGAACTGTGATCCTCAGATCTCAGCCTCCTGGGTAGCTAGGCATGAGCCCCTGGCACCCAGCTACCCTTTGCTTTTTAACAAAATAGTTATGATGTAGGTATATTTTTGAATATTTAGTTTTACCAACTGGGTGCTGGTAGCTCAGGCCTGTAATCCTAGCTACTTGGGAGGCTGAGATCTGAGGATCATGAAGCCAGACCATACATGAATGTCCATAAGATTCTTACCTCCAATTAACCACCAAAAAGAAGCCAGAAGTGGAGCTGTGGTTCAAGTGGTTGAGTGTTAGCCTTGAGTAAAAGAAGCTGAGAGATGGTACCCAGGCCCACAAAAAGCAAACAAAATTAATTTTTTCCATTTTTGTCCTAATTTTTTTGTGCTAGTACTTGGGCTGAAACTCAGGGTCTTGTGCTATCACTTGGTTTTTTCACTCAAATCTGGCACTGCACCACTTGAGCCATGCCTCCCCTTCCCATTTTTGTCTCTGTATTCCTGCATGTCAGGGCACACTGCTAACCATGTGTTGGCTTTCCAGAGTCACCTTACTACAGCAAGCCTCGGAAAATGACGTCCTGGCGGTCCCTGCGAACCACAGGGGGGATGCCTCTGAGCAGCAGGCTGTCCCAGACACCGCCGAAGCTCTGGCTGGGCGCTGCTAAACAAGGTACTTGTAGGGCAACTGGAGAGAGAGTGCTCCCTGGGTGTCACCATGCCTGCTGTCTCAGGACACTTGGGTATGATCCTTGGATTTGCTCAAGTGACACAGGGGCCCCTCTTGCTCTTCTGCATCCACTGCTGAGAGGCTGAGGTGTGGCAAGGCCAGCTCCAGCAGCTAACAGAGCCCACAGTGTCATTGATGGGGGCTGTGCAAGCTGTTCAGCATGACGCCACTCCTGGGGGGGACTATACCATTTACATCATATAGCAGGTGCTACGAAATGCTACATTCCAGGGCCTCATGATTTGACCTTGAGGGCCTGTGCTGAAGCAGCCTCAACAGGGATGTCTTAGCCGGCTGTCTTCTGGGTGATGGAGTTTTCTTACAACCTAGGTGCAGAATGGGAAAGCCTCCATTGCCTTTGCATTCAAGCCAGGAGGACAAGCCCAACCCATGGAGTTCACACTCACTGGGAGGGCCCCCACCCAGAACCAGCTGCATCCCTGACTTATCTGAGCGAAGCCATGGGACCAAGAGCTCATCATGCAGGCAATGCATCAGCCCTGCTGAGCATGCTGGCTGGGCTGGGCTGGGCTGGAGTAAAGTGATCCTGGTTACAGCCTTCCAAGTAGTGGGGATTACTGGCTTACCACCAGGCCTGGTTTGTTGAGAGACTTTTGGTCCTTTTATCACTGTCTGCTTAAAAAGGGAGTACCGCTAACTTCCAGCTTTCCACTAAGGGGTAGCCAAGAGTTCTCTCCCTTGTGATGACCTCTGAGAGCCTGTGTGTTCCTCCAGGCCACACCCCAGGAATCACCATCTACAGAGAGAAAGAAGACATGTACGACGAGATCACCGAGCTGAAGAAGGTAGCACCTATCTGCCTTTAACCATGTCAGGGCTTGGGTGTGCCCTCTGGGTAGTCTGAGTGTCACTCACATGCTGGCCAAGTAAGGCCACAGTAGGTGCACAGACGGTGACACCTGCCTTGGACAGCACCCATGCTTCAGCTCCCACCCCTGCCAGCTCCTACTCACTACACTTACTCCAAGGGTGGTGGGCTGGCGATGGTCCCGTGCCAGCTTTCAGTAGCACAAAAGGGGCACTTGATGTGGCATTGTAACCTGTTCAAGTGACCTGCCCACGTGGCAATTCCACACACCCTGTCCAACTTCTGTGCTTTAGAAGCCTGCAGGTAGACAGGGCCTTCATTACAGTCAGTGCCATTTGTGGGCACCTTGAAAGGGGGCTGCCTCACTTAGCCAGCAGGACAGAGGTCATGTACCTGCGCCCATAGCCACACACTTGGTGAGGTGGGATGGCCTCATGTGACATCATCGTATTAGTTCCCATGGATGCTGTTGCCTGAGCAGTTAACTGGGCTCACTCTGTCACTTTAATCTCCGTGTGGCCCTCCTGGCTGGCTGCACTGTAGAGCTATGTGTGTGTGGACTGCAGTCAGTTAAATGAGGCCTGGCCGTTGTCTGGGATCATAGGGGGAATTCCCATTAGGTTAAGAGTCAGCTGCGTGGCCTTGGGGAAAGCTTCTCCACCTAGAGCTAGGCTTCTGGGAACAAGTACCAGCTTTCTTCAAATGCATATCTGGATAAAAATTAGCCTGTTTCCCACACTCCCAAAGGTGTGGGCTGCGTTTCACTGCTGTGTTCTCAGATCCTGATCATCACCGCAGTTTCCTGTGCACAGTGCCTCTGCTTCCTGTTAGAAAATTGGGAAAGTAGCCAAGCATGGAGGCCATGCCTGTAATCCCAGCTACTTGGGAGGCAGAGACAGGAAGATCTCAAAGTTGAGGCCGGACTGAGCACCTTAGTGACACCTGTCACAAGTAAAAAAGATAGGGCTGGGGACATACTGAGTGTCAGAGCTAGAGTGGGGTTTGAACCCCAATACCCTCCCTACATGAGGTATAATCATGCTGGCTTCATCAACTTGTTAAGAAATGCAATAGAATATCCAGGTTGTGGTCAGAACACTGCCTCATGCACAGTGGGAATTTGCATGTCCTGGCCGTCTGGGTGCTCATGGCTGGGTTTGTAACCGCTCTTATGCTTTCCAGTTCTGTCGTTCCCATTTTGTTCTGTGTCTTCTGTTTAATTTTCTCAAGCATGTTTGCTGAGGAAACATTTCTAGGAGGACTGTTGAAAAATCTCATTCAAATAAGACTTTTCTGGTCCTTTATATGAAGAGTTCTCCACTGAAACATGTAGGGTGTTACATCATGAGACTCTGGCCCCCATGACATTGTTCTGGGAACACCTCACCACATCTAAGCAGGTGGATGTGCAGCACTGACTCTTGTGGCATGCTAATGGGGATTCTACTACCCCTAGACCTGCTGTTTGGTGACCTCAGCAGCCCCTGGCTCCAGCACCCCTGGTGCCTGCTACCTAGCCCAGTAGTATGGTGCCCCCTTGTGGTTGTGCCTGGGCTGTGTCATGGGCTGCCTACCCTTAATTGAAGAGAACAATCTGGGGGGCTTTTTAGTAGGGGACCAGAATGGGGCTTGAACTCAGAGCCTCTTTCTCTTACTTGCTTTGATGGTCAAGGTGTGACTTGACCACTTGAGCTATATAGTTCATCTTCCACTTGTTTTGTTTTGTTTTGTTTTTGCTGGTTTATTAGAGATAAATGTCTCACAGACTTTTCTGCCCAAGCTAGCTTTGAACTACAGTCCTTTAGATCCTAGCTCCTGAGCAGCTAGGGTTACAGGTGTGAGCCACTGGCGCCCAATTCATTTTGGAGGCTTTTATTTCTGCCAGTTGGTGTTAACTTCTTCACACTCCATCCAGATGAAGTAGAAAGAAAACCAAAGGGGCTTCCTGTTCTATATCAAAGTTTCACTTCCTTTCCTTCTCTTCCTCTTTCCCTGTGGTGCTGGGATCAAGCCCTGGCCCTCACGATGCTGGGATATCCCCCACACCAGCCAACCTGGGATTAACTTACACTGGTCAGGTTTTTAGGTTTCCCAGAATGCACAAACCTTTTCCAAGTGAGGACATTAAACGTTCTTCATCTTTACCACCACCTCATAAAAGGTCCTTATTGTGACCCACCATCTTCCCAGTCCGCCCCAAAGGGAGGCAGACTTCTTTGAAAGCTGCTTGTGGCTCAGGATGACCCTCCGGGACCATGTGTCCCAATGTGAGCTCATGTGTCACATGTGTGCTGGCCCTCTCTGCTCCAGTTGCTGCACATGCAGAAAAACGACGTGGACCTGATGAGGACGAAGCTGCGGCGCTTGGAAGAAGAAAACAACAGGAAAGACCGGCAGATAGAGCAGCTGCTGGACCCAGGGCGGGTAAATCAGCCATGGCCCATGGGTGGGGTGGGACCTGAAGCCTGGGGATGGGGAAGGGGGGAGGCACCTACCTCTCCTGCTTCTGTCCACTTACTGCAGGGCTCTGACTTCATCCGGACTCTGGCAGACAAGAGGCCTGATTCTGGCTGGGTGAGTAGAGCCTGCCTCCAACATCACAGGTAGGGACACTAAGGACTATACTTGCACAAACATTGCTGAGGGGAAGAGGGGGACCAGAACTTTCTAGAACTGTTCACAGAGCCATAGAGTGATAAAAAGATGCCTCAGGATTTGTTATAAGGAATAAGATGAGGTGAGCAGGCTTCACAGAAGTAAAAAAATGAATGTCAGAGATAAGAACCAAGGTGGCAGCTGGTCCAGTGGACAGCTGGGTTGTGATACACAGGCAGGGCAGCCCATGTCCTTGACATGGTGGATCAGGCAGTGTGCCCCTCCGCAGAGTGACAGGCACTGGGGCTGGGGAGGCTGCAATGTGGCCGTGCTGAGGCATCTGGTATACCTGCCAGGTGACAAAGGAATAAAAGAGTCACCATCCATGGATGGGGTGCATGCCAGGTGACAGAGGAATAAAGGAGTCACCGTCCATGGATGGGGCACATGCCTGGTGACAGAGGCATGGAGGAGGTACCGTACCGTCTGTGGATGGAGAAGCCAGTTTCCATGTTACCCAGTACAGAGAGTAGGGTAATGATATGACTCATGCATTCTATAACCTAGAATCAACATTTGCATAAAAATCCTCCACACTAAGTTGGAAATGGAACCATATAACAAGAGGGAGGATGAAACCAAGCAACCCAAGAGTTGCTTTCTGCCCAGAATGTGTCAAAAAATCTCTACAACCCTCAAAAGAGAACCATCGTCTGAAATGCAGCACATGCGTGATGTGTATGAGGGGAAATGTGCTGTATCTCGTCAAGGCAATGAGGGCCTGCCCCTGTGTTCTTACCAAAGGTTTCTGGATGGATCTGGGTGCTTCCACAGGAAAGTAGTTCTATTAATCAAGTAACCAATGAATGAAGTTAGTGGCAGCATCATAGAGTGTTGCAGCTGGCCCTGGGCCATCCCCACCCTCAGCCTCTGGAGCAGTGGGGATCACAGACCACACTCCTGGCTAAGCAAGTGTGTTTGGTACCGCAGCTGTGCTGTGAGGCTGTTCAGTTTGCACAAAGGTGTGACATGTTTGCTCTTGTGTAACAGAGTTCCTGAAATCATGGAACAGATTTGCCTAAGTCAGGTTCCCCTGGCTGCACCAGCTCTGTCCCAGCCCAGTCATCCCAGCACCAGGACGTCCTTAGAAGAAATTAGACTGCTGAGCCAGGGCTGGTGGCTTACACCTGTAATCCTAGCTACTCAGGAGGCTGAGATCTGATGATTGCGGTTCAAAGCCAGCCCAGGCAGGAAAGTCCATGAGACTTATCCCCAATAAACTACCAGAAAACTGGAAGTGGTGCTATGTGGCTCAAGTGGTAGAGCGCTAGCCTGGAGCTGAAGAGCTGAGGGACAGCACCCAGGCCCAGAGTTCAAGCCCAAAGAGGGAGAGAAAGAGAGATAAAGAGAAAGAAAAGAAAGAAAGTAAGTAAGTAGGAAAGGAAGGAAAGAAAAAGAAAGAAAGAAAGAAAGAAAGACTGCAAGAAAGAAAGACAGCAAGAAAGAAAGAAGTTAGACTGCTGGGCAAAGCCCACACTGTAAAGCAACAAACCACACAAAAGATCAAAACTACCTTCAGTGACAGCAGAACTGGTGTGCCTGGCACCTACACAGTATTGTTAGTGAATGTTACTGCAAAGGCAGTAGTTGGTCAAATGCTGCCCACTGCAGACATGTGGAACATGCCTGTAATCCCAGCTACTTAGCAAGCTGAAACCTGACAATCAAGCTTCACAGTCATACCAGTCAAATGGTTGGGGGTTTTTTGTTTTGTTTTTTGATGTGCCAGGATTTGAACTAGGATTTGAACTCACAGCCTCATCTCTCAGCTTTTGCATTCAAGGCTCTCTGCCACTTGAGCCACGTCTCCATTTCTGGCTTTTTGCTGGTTAATGGGAAAGAAGAGTCTCTCAGAATTTGTATGTCCTGTTGTAGAACAGTGCAGATGTATACATATAGGAAGAGCTGGGGGTCAGGAGGACTGAGAAGGGCAGCTTGCACTCTCCAGTGTGCTGGTGTGCCTGCACTCAGCGTGTGCACCCAGCAGTGGGCCCCTGCACAACAGGTGCCCTGCGGGCTGGGCAGGTGCCTGCTGAGGGGTGGCAGGCGAGGAGAGTGGCCTCCTCCATAAAGCCATAATTGTTTTGAGGAAAGACAGAGGGTCTCATTAGCTTTCTGGAGAGAAGTGGTGGACAGTGCAGCCTGCCCATTCTCCCAGGCATGCAGTGTGCTCAGGGACTGCTGCCACCACTGGTGCTGCTGCCACCATTGCCTGTGTCTTGTGCTCTTTGTCCCCTGCACATTGAGTGAGTTGGGCAGTGGCCTACATGGCAGGACAGCATTAGGAAAGAAGGAAGGATGGACAAGTGGAAGGGGCCAGTGGGGTGGGATTGTGTGACTCATATGGGCCTGAGCCTCCAGCAAGAGTAGGGAGAGCTTAGGTTCCAGAGATGCTGGCTGAAGTGGCCTCCCTCTGCCAGCAGGTCATCACTGGGCTCAAGCAGAGGATCTTCCGGCTGGAACAGCAGTGCAAGGAAAAGGACGGCACTATCAGGTGTGAGCATGCCCGCCCTCGGCCCCTGCCAGCAGGGACCGACCGCTTGCTCCTGCATCTCTATTTTCTTGCTAGTGTCTGTTTGTCTCCAGCATCCTTTTCTTGGTCGCTGGTGCCAAATCTACCGTCTCCCCATAATGCCCCATTCTCTCCCCTGGCTACATGGCACTGGGCCTGTCTTGCAGTTGGTCTGTAGCTTAGCTGTCCATGTTTCTTTCCCCATCTTCTTTTTTCCTGGTCTTTTTATTTATTTATTTATTTTTGGTCGGTCGTGGGGCTTGAACTCTGGGCCTGGGCGCTGTCCTTCAGCTCTTCAGCTCAAGGCGAGCGCTCTACCACTTGAGCTACAGCGCCACTTCTGGTTTTCTGGTGGTTTATTGGAGATAGGAGTCTCATGGTCTCTCCTGCCCGGGCTGGCTTTGAACCGTGATCCTCAGATCTCAGCCTCCTGAGTAGCTAGGATTACAGGCGTGAGCCACCAGCGCCCGACATTTCCTGGTCTTTTTAGTGCCAAGAGAATGTTGTCTTGGTTGTAGTTAATGCTGTTTAAGGGACACCGTCACCAGCTTGGTAGTGCGTATCGCTCAGGATTGAGTGTGAGGCCAGTCTGAGCTACATAGCAAGACCGCTCCCAACAGAGGGACAAGGGAAAACCGCGTCCACCTGTCTGGTCTGTGTCCTCTCCTGTGGACCCCCCTCCTGTTTCCCCTCCTGCAGGCTCCACTCCTGTGGACCCCCCCCACTCCTGCATCCCATCCTGCAGTCCCCCACTCCTTGTTTCTCTTGGAGTCTGCTTTTGAGTTTCTGGGTGCTCCACTCTCCTGTGTCTTGGCACCTATAGTGTGAGGCCCTTAGCATGTCAGGAACCCGAGACAGAAAATAACTCTTAAACCTCATCCCTCTCTTCACCCACTCCTCCCTGGCCCTGGTGCTCTGCGGCTCATCTGCTTGCTGAGGCAGCCTGAGGCAGCCTGCTTGGGAAGGGCTGCACATGCATCCTCTGTCAGCCGCTACACTTATTGAAGGCCAGAGCCACAGAAGACCTCTTTCCCATCCCAGTTCTCTTCCAAAGTCATCCCTTCCCTGAATGTCCACATGGCCCTGGACCCTGGCCTTGCTGTGGTAACTCTGAACTTGGGTTTTGGTTTTCCAGCAAACTTCAGGCAGACATGAAGACTACCAACCTGGAGGAAATGCGGATCGCCATGGAGACCTACGACGAGGAGGTACGGGTGCTCCTGATGTGGGCAGGGTGCATGCTCTCAACCAGGCCTGTTGGGAGAAGCAACTGCCAGCCAGGGTCATGCTGGCCATGCATGCGCAGTGCAGCATGACCACAAGTCCCAGCAGCTTAGTGTGTGGTCCCACAGGAGGCAGAAATGGGGAAGGCTGATGGCATACTCACATGTTTTTCTGACACTCTCATTTGGTCCTTCCAGATCCACCGTCTCCAGACTCTGCTGGCGAGCTCCGAAGCATCAGGGAAGAAGTACGTATTGCTCAGCGCTGGTTTCTAATGTTTCTGCCAATCCTGCAGCAGGTAGCCCCTTCAGGAAGCGGCCCCTCCCTCACGTCTGCCTTGGCAGCAGGGCCCGTGGCTGCATCCTTGTGGGGCAAGAGCTGCATGTGCGCACCTGGCTTGCTGCTGTACCTCGTGACTATGCCTGCTACAGTTGACCCATACTCCACACATGACTCATTCCACCTGGCACTTTCCCACTAGCACTGCCAAAGGCAGACCTGCCTTACTAAGCAGATCCTTGAGCCACTGCTTTTACCCGAATCAAAGGCTGGGGCCTAACTCAAGTGGTAGTGCCCTTGCTTAGCATGCTTGAGATCCTGGGCTCAGTCATCAGTTCGGCGAAGCTGGACGCAATAGCCTGTGTCTATAAGTTCAGCTGCTCAAGAGGTGGAGATTGAGAGAATCTTGATTCAAGACCAGCCTAGACAAAAAGTTTACAAGACCCCATCTCAGCCAATAAAAAGGCAGACTTAGCTGGACATGCCTATAATCCTGGCTGTTCAGGAGACTGAAATCTGAGGATCAAAGCTGGCACAGGCAGGAAATTCCATGAGACACTTATCTCCAATAAACTACCAAAAAGCCAGAACTGGAGTTATGGCTCAAGTGGTAAAGCACCAGCCTTGAGCAAAAGAAGCTCAAAGCACCTAGGCCCTGATTTCAAGCTCCAGGACATACACAGTAGAGAGAGACAGAGAAATGAGTATTGTTCCGTAAAGTTCCCATGAGCATTGGGTCAGCAGAGCCTGCGCCTCAGCTCTGGGTGATTCAGGCTCAGGCTCTGGCAACCTCCATGCTCTCAGCAGCAGCTTTCTGTGTTCCTCCTTACTCTGTCTGCCCTGCCCTAGCCGGGCCCTTGTACGCATACCTTCATGGCCTCATCACATGCAGAAAGCTGGACAGTGCTTCAGCTGTGCCCTGGGCCATCTCCAGCAGTGACCTCACAACTCAAAGCCACAAAGGTGTAGTAGTGTCTTTCTGCCCTAAACAAGCAGTGAAAAGAGGGTTTGTCTCCCCATGAGAGGATGGCATGGCCTCAGAGATTTCTCAGCCCTCCACACATGCATGGCTCTCCTCAAAAGCCCCATGAGCACTGGTTTTAGTTTACAGGGATTTTTTTTTTTGGTAGTTGTTTTGGTTTTTTTTCTGGCACTAGGGTTTGAACTCAGAACCTCACACCTGCTTGGCTTTCTTACTCATGGCTAGCACTCTACCACTGAATTATGCTTCTAGCCTGCCTCTTTGCTGATTAATTGGAGATGGGATTTTGCAGAATTTTCTGCCCAGGATGGCCTTGAACTGCATTCTTATGGATCTCAACCTCCTCTAAGTAGCTAGGGTTACAGGTGTGCACCACTGGTGTTCAGCTAATTTGCAGATAAATCTTTTTTTTTTTTTTTTGATCGATTGTGGGGCTTGAACTCTGGGTGTCAACTCAAGGCTAGCGCTCTACCACTTTTAAGCCACAGCACCACTTCTGGTTTTCTGGTGGTTCATTGGAGATAAAGAATTTCACAGACTTTTCTGCCCAGGTTTGCTTTGAACCTCAATCCTCAGATCTCAGCCTCCTGAGTGGCTAGGATTACAGGAGTGAGCCACTGGTGCCGGCTCTGAATACAGTTTTTGTTGTTGTTGGTTGTGGGCCTGAACTCTGGGCCTGGGCGCTGTCTCTCAGCTCTTCAGCTTAAGGCTAGCACTCTACCACTTGAGCCACAGAGCCACTGCTGGGTTTTTCTGCTTATGTGGTGCTAAGGAATTGAACCCAGGGCTTCATGCATGCAAGGCAAGCACTCTACCACTGAGCCACCTTCCCAGCCCCTGAATACAATTTTTATAATAAGAATAGGAGTACAAAGCTGGGCACCGGCAGCTCACGCCTGTAATCCTAGCTACTCAAGAGGCTGAGATCTGAAGATCTTGGTTCAAAACCAGCCTGGGCAGGAAAGTCTGAGATTTTTATCTCCAATGAACCACAGAAAACAAGAAGTTGACCTGTGGCTCAAGTGGTAGAGCGCGAGTCTTGAGCTGAAGAGCTGAGGGACAGCACCCAGGCCCAGAGTTCAAGCCTCATAACTGATTAAAAAAAAAAAAAAGAATGGAGTCTATCACGGGGTTAACATTTTATTTGGGGTTCAGAGTTAGTGTTCCTATTTGACTGTAGATTCTCAACTGTAAGACCACTCAGCTCCCCACCAGAAAGAAACAGGCCAAGACTTGAAGCTCATCTCTCATTGGAAGCCATTTTAAGCCAGTCAAGAAACCTAGCCTCAGCCTTGCCTCTATTGTTGCCAGGCCCTTGATGGAGAAGCCTGGCCTGAAAAGACAGAGGAAGATGAGCAGCGCCCTGCTGAACCTGTCCCGCAGCGTCCAGGAGCTGACCGAAGAGAACCAGAGCTTGAAGGAAGACCTGGACCGCGTGCTAAGCAACTCGCCCACCGTCTCCAAAACAAAGAGTATTTCCCGCAGACCACTGGTGGGGAGGGGGAGCGGGGGGACAGACATGAGGGAGGAGGTAAGGTCTCATTCTGCCAGGGGAGATGTGAGGTGGCCCCAGTGATGTGAAGGGCATGTGCTGTGGGCAGCTTGTTCTAGAAAGTGGATGTGTCGGCTCAAAGAAGACATGTCGGGACCCTACAATGTGGCAGCCATGTTCTAGGCCCTGGAGGTAGAGCAGGATGGGATCAGAGCACAGGCTCCCCTGCCATGGTGACCACGCGGTGGCATGGCCTGTGGGGCAGGTGAGGTCTGAGGCGCGGGAAGGTGGAGGCAGGCCGTGGGCAGTGTGTGGGTCTGCTGAGTGTGGAACCAAGGGAGGCTGCCTTGAGAGCAAGCAAGAGCAGGAGTCGAGGAGAAGAGCAGGTCAGCCCTGCGCTCAGGAAGACTGGGAAGTAGCCCGAGAAGCAGCTGTGCCAGAGGGCTTGGAGTAAGTACCAAGGATGGAGCTTGGGGTTTGGCAAGGCAGAAGTCCTTGGCGACCTTGCTGGGTTAAACCAGGATACTTCAAGCATTAGTATTGTGCTTTCGGACAGCCCTTTCATGTCAGTCGTCTCTGGGCCAGGAATTTGTTGATAGCTGCACAGGGGGAGGCAAGGAGGCCATCACTGAGAAGGCCATGCAGCTACAGAGGCCTGTGTACACCTGCCCTTCCGGTTAGGTTATGTGGACTGGAGCAAGCCCCGGCTGCTGAGACGCATTGCGGAACTGGAAAGGGTGAGTGAGTGGCGCGGGCTCCGCCAAGGAATGCACAGTGAAGACAGGTCGCCAGATGGGTGTGCACAGTGGCTGGTCAGCACGTGGCCCCAAGCACAATCAAAGAGCACAGGCCCTGAGGACTAGATTGGGTTGGTTTTTGTGTGCTGGTCTCAGGACCTGGGTTCTGTCCCTGAGCTTTTTACTTAAGGCTAATCCTCTACCACTTGAATCACAGCTCCACTTCTGGGTTTTGTTTTGTGGGTCTTCCCCCCCCCCCGAGAGTTAATTGGAAATAAGAATCCTAAGGACTCCTGCCTGGGCTGGCTTTAATCCGTGATCCCCAGATCTCAGCCTTCTGAGTAATTGGGATTACAGGCTTGAGCCACCAGCACCTGGCTATGGCTCTCTTTTTATAGAGATTTAGGCCAAATGATAGAGCGAGCTCTTGCCTACCCAGTACCGCCAAGTAAACAAACAGCCACAGAGCCCGCATGAGTGAATGTCCTGTGTAGCCACAGGTGGGTGCACATGACCCTTGAGTCCCCACAGCCCAGTGGTGCATGCATCCTGTGGACTCTGCTCTGCAGTTCCTCCAAACTCTTCTTTACCCCTTGTGACTCTTGAGGGTGCGGGAAGCTGTTCTTCCAGCCAAAAAACCTGGGAGGTGGCATTTCCTCAGCCCACATGGGTGTGCCTGGTCCTGCATTCCACTATGTCCTTCGGCTCTTTGGCAAAGCAGAGCAAACCCTAGGGGAGAACACTTGAAATATATTCGCACATATCCAAAGTAGCACATGTAAGGCACTGCCATGCACTGTGGTGTGTTACAAGTAAAGCTGGCTGGGAGATGCAAGCAAGTGGGCAGGGCAGGACTGTGAAGTGGGAGCAGTAGTCCCAGGCCCAGGGGAATGAGGTCAGCATGGTCAGTGTGACCCAGGGTTCTGCTGGCACAACTGGTACCTGGTTCAAGGTGGAAAGCCCTAAGGGGGGACTGCTTGACTTGAAGGGGAGAGCACAAATAGAAGAGGCACTTAACTCTCACCTGCCTCCTGCCCTTTTTGCTGCTGCCCAGAGGCTCCGAGGCCACCCCTTCCCCCAGCCCCTCAGCTGTCCCCCTCCGATCCCGGGTCCCACAGTCACACTTCCACATACTGGAGCCTTGTACGTGTGGCTCATGGTCCATGAACAAAGTGTTCTCCATGGCTCATCATCATCTGGCTTTCCCAAGTGGTAATAATGTTCACAAATGTCTATGTTGCCTCCAGAAACTGAGTTCGCAAGAGGGTGTAAAGCTCCCAACCACAGAGCTGGCGAGGCTGAATCCTCTGCCCCCGTCCACGTCTAGCACGTCTGTGCACAAGCTACCAAAAGCTCCACCACCGCCTCCACCGCAGCCACCACCACCATCGGAGGAGCCGGAGCCCCTGCAGGAGGCCATGCGAGAGCTGCGGCAGGAGCGCAGCTGGCTGCGGGGACAGCTGCTGGAGTTCGAGTAGGTGCCTGTGCCCTTGTCCCGGGCAGGCCTCCACCTCTCATGTCATGGGGTGGACCACACCTGTCTCCCAGTGGGCTGACTGCCCTGTTTCCTAGAGAGAAATTTGTGTGGCGAGTGAGATCTGAGGCAGAGTGATCTCAGATTAGAAAGGCACCACTTCTAGGTTTTTCTGCTTATGTGGTGCTGAAGAATCAAACCCAGGGACTCATGCATGCAAGGCAAGCACTCCACCACTGAGCCACCTTCCCAGCCCCTGAGGGGGTTCTTAATGAAGCACATCACTTCTGACAGCATCTATGAAGCCACCATTTAGGGATCCCTTCCTTCGTGACAGACAGGACTCTTCTCCACACTTGAGGAGTGTCTAGCTCATTTACCAGGGGGCCTGGGTCTCCATGTGCAGCTGAGGTCTGTGCTGCTCTGCTGAGGAAGCACAGCCATCAGGCACTGGGGCTCCTGGGCTCTGCAGGCAACCATGGGAACCTGGTTTTGTGCCTTCAGGGTGGAAGTGAAGCAGCTGCTGCACACGAAGGCCAGCCTGGAGCAGGAGCTAGAGAAGGCCAGGAAGGAGGAGCAGAAGCAATGGGAACGTGAGCAGGCTCTGCAGTAAGTGGCTGCATCTTGGGCAAGGACTGGCGCACTTGCACCTTCCTGTCTGGCGGGACACCCCTGCCCCTGGAGTCTCAGCGCACAGAGGCACACCTCTTCCTGGGTGCTTGCACCAGTGTTCTTTTGCCTTTTGAGTAAAACTCCAAACCCCAGGACACAGTGGGACACAGCGGGGACACAGAGGGGACTCAGCGGGGGACACAGCGGGACACATCAGTGGACAAAATGGGACACAGCGGGGGACACAGCGCGGGACACAGCAGGGGACACAGCGTGACACAGCGGGGGACGCAGCGGGACATAGCGGGGGGACACAGCGAGGACACAATGGGACACAGCGGGGGACACAGCGAGGAAACAGCGGGACACAGCGAGGACACAGCGGGGGACACAGCGGATCACAGCGGGACACGGGGGACACAGCGGAGACACAGCGGGACACAGCTGAGGACATAGCAGTACCCAGAGGGACAAAGTGGGACACAGCGGGACACAGCGGGACACAGAGGGGGACACAAAGGGACACATCGGGGGACACAGCGAGGACACAGCAGAACACAGCTGTGTCCCGCTGTGTCCCCCGTTGTGTCCCGCTGTTTCCCTGCTATGTCCCGCTGTGTCC